GATATGATGTTGTGGCCATTCCGGTGATCACTTCCTGGAATAGTATTCCATGGAATACATCTCCCCCTATGTAACTACTCTATTTTGCTAAATGATTGAGCTTTTCATTCCATGAAATTTTGATTGTGCCCCCATGTTTAAGAAGTCCGCGTTCGCCCCTGGTTGTAGGTGAAGTCCTCTTTTACAATTTCCATCCAAAATGCGGTCAGTTAACCACCAAAATAAAAAATTGATCACTTCTTACCAAAATAAGGGAGAACAAAATGGTAACTTATTGTTTTTTCCATAAAATAATCTTAAATAAAAAAAACAAAAAAAAAAGGAAAAGGAAAATTATATATTTTCTCCCTCACCCTTACCCTTACCCTCACCCTCACCCTCACCCATACCCACACCATCACCCTTACCCTCACTCCCAACCACCACCCCGAATCCCACCCCTCAACCAAAGCCAAAAATCCGCCATAGCCATCGACCACCGCCACTGCTGCAAAGAAGTGTTTCCTTCGTCATTCAGAGCCTGAAATTTGACTATCAAGATAAAGAATCCACCCAATATATTGGTGGTGACAATGTACTCAAATCAAATAAACCATTGCGAAACACCTTCAACAAATCTAGAAGTCAACAAAATCAAACAACCAAAGACGAACAAAAGAGGCAGTTTAGTGATACTGATGTTTTACGAGCACTACAAAAAGCCACTACCCACAAATCCAAGAAAAAGAAAGACAAAAGGGACACTATATCCAGAGATGGAAAATTTGTTGAACGAGAAATCCAAGGGACCGTAGATTACGCTAATGTTAGAACCTTATGCATTAAAATTGAATGGATTGCTCAATTGGAGGAATTGGAGAGGCAACTTTAGGAGCTTATAGATACTTATGAGTTAGAATGGTCTTAATTGTTATCAGAGGTGACAATGTTCTTTATTTTTGTGAAGTATTGTATGATGAAGAAACAAAAGAAGATGAAGATTGTGACTTGGTGCCTTTTGGTGGTATTAGTGGAGGTGGTCGATGGTGGTGATAGTGATGGTGATCGATGAAGATGGCGATGGTGGCAGTGGTCGATGGCTATGGCGGATTTCTAATTTTGGTTGAGGGGTTGGGGGCTGGGGGTGAGGGTGAGAGAGAAGAAGATATTTTTCATTTTTCCTTTTATTTTATATTTCGTTGTTTTTTATTTAAGTTTTTTAATTATTTTATGGGAAAACATTAAGTTATCATTTTGCCTTCCCTTATTTTGGTAGAAAGTGGTCAAATTTTTTTTTTTTTGGTGGTCAATTGACGATATTTTGGATGGAAACCGTCCAAAAGGGCATCACCTACAATAGTTTGGAAATGTTAGAGATGACGATTGCAACAAATGAAAGATTTGAAAAAAGTGCATCAGTATTTTAAAAATTTTGGGCTTTTGCTGCAAATATCCCTTTTATGTTAAATGATTATCTTTCAAGAATATTTTTATTGTTGTCAATAAAGCATGAATAATTATGAATGAATGGTTCAGAGAATATTGTGTTGTTATTTCCAAGAAGGTACAACTTTATAATTATCAAATATGATAAATAATTTTTTATACAGATATAGAAACACACAAATTTATATGTCAAAAATTTATAAGAATATAATATTCATATTCTTCTATTGAAATTGAGCGAATAGTTACTCTTTTTTCTTTGTTCAAGTTTTGTCACATAGTATTTTCTTGAAAAAGTTTTAATGAGGCAATATTTTATTGCTCTAAACCTTTTTGTATTTTTTTTTTCCTATCGAATTTTTTTCAAATAAGATTTTTGACGAGTCATATATTATGTAATTAGTAGGGGGTGTTGTAAAATAAATATTGTTTATGAATGATAATTGTATGCCTACAACTCAAATTATAACTTTATTTCTCATAAAATAAACAAGAGTTTTGAATATTTCTCAATTATCTCTTGTTGTTCTTTATTTTTTTCTTAGTTTTATGTAGCGGTGGCAAAAAACCTCGGAGGCTCGGATGGCCCGGGCTCAGCTAGGCTCGGAGAAAGCCCGAGCCGGGCCCGGTGGAACCGAGCCCCACTTTGGGGAGTCGGCTCGAGCCCGGGCTGGCCCGTGGCCCGGGCGAGCCT